GGCAACCCCTGCCAGGGTTTCACCACCCTCACTGAAAAGAATTTCTTCCTTAGATCCAGTCTAAACCTCCCCTGCTTCAGTTTTCCTACTGCTCAGCCTGGACACACCTGGGCATGGAGAAGAACCCAAAACTACAACTACTGGCTGGAGTCATGACCGTGCTATAATCCAAATAGCTCCAACATACTCAGGAGTTCGTTCAGACTTTTGTGTATTTTTATGCATATAAAAATAATTAAAATGAATGCCAAGGGAGATCCCTGGGGCTAACCAGACACCCCCACCAAACCCAGACCGCTAATGGTTGGGACTCTGCCCTCCTCTCAACAACCGTTATAAATGAGTTATAACAAAAATAACCAAAAGGAGGTGTATACAGCCTCTTATTTCTCCATGGCCACTATTCCAGCTGTCGCCACGTTTAATCCTAAATTCACACATAAATGTTAACAACATCCACCAGAGTTCACCAAAGTGAAAATCTGAATCAACGGTGACAAGAGGAAGATGAAAAATATTCATGAGGTCAACCTTTTTGTCCCAGCGAAAGCCACTTTTCTTTTAGCTCCCAGCAAAAAGCCTCACACTCTCCCATCAACTATTTCTAAATTCTGGGAATTGAGAATATATTATTTACGGGCTACGACATGGCTATCATCCAAGCCACCCTGGAACACCGTAACATATTCTTTTAGCAAAGACATTCTAAGCATCAAAGCCACCAAAACGAATGGTGCATGTGGGACAGACACACAGAGACACGTTTTCCCTAAATACCTTCCACTACATCAACCACGAGATGAAAGGAGGACGGCTCAAAATGTCCAACGCGGCTCTACACCGTTTGCGAAGCCTTTGATCAGCTTGGGTTTCAATAAGCCACCTCATTTTTTGTTACAACCTCCACAGGACGCCCAGTACTCCATGTAAGAAGTATCGCCTGAAAATCCCTCTTATTTCCTGGACACCAAGAAGCTGCTGAGATGCCTGTGAGCATGGTGAGATGTTTCTGGCCTCAAAGAGGCCCCACCGCTCACAGACGGGCTGAGAAAACACCGGTTACGAAAGCTGATTCCAAACGTCCGGCTTGGTAGGAGATTTGTGTCCCACCACAGACGTGCTCTGGCTTGTGCTACGTGGCCAAACAAGCTCCACTAACAGCTGAAGGCTTTGAGAAGAGGTTTGGTTTATTTTATCTGCCAGCCAGAGCATGAATATGCTCTGATAACTCTGCAGAGACCCTTTGCAAACCACATCTACCCGAAAGGGGATGAGACACCACCAGCCCTCCCCTCTAAGGAGCTCCTCAGGTAGGCTGCACAGACGATTCTTATTTTTTCCTAATCCCAGCCACTTTATTAGCTCAATGTCCAGGTCTGACAGGTAGGTGTTGTCTCTTAGGCATTTTACTGCTGCTTAAACAGTACTTAAAGGGGGCCTATAAGAAAGATGGAGGACTTTTTAGCAGGGCCAGCTGTGACAGGACAAGGGGGGATGGCTTTAAACTAAAGCAGGGTAGGTTTAGACTGGATCTAAGGAAGAAATTCTTTCCAGTGAGGGGGGTGAAACCCTGGCAGGGGTTGCCCAGAGAGGGGGTGGAGGCCCCATGCCTGGGAACATTCCAGGCCAGGTTGGCCGGGGCTGTGAGCAACCTGATGTGGTTCAAGGTGTCCCTGCTCCTGCAGGGGGGTTGGGCTGGGTGACCTCTAGGGGTCCCTTCCCACCCAAACCATTCTATGATTCTATGATTCTAAACTTGCTCTCATGTGAAAATACCCAACAACAGCGGAGACAAGCCTCCACGTTGAACCTCCCCTTGCCTCCCAAGTTCACTCTCCATCACCTCTCTTCTCCCGCCCACATCCTTCCCGGTGCTGTGACCGCCCAGAGGAGCAACAGGAATGACTTGCCCTCCTTTAACTCTGTGGAGCAGCAGAATCAAAAAAAGAAAGGAGAAAGAAAACACAAAGCCAGCTGAGGGTGTGGAGAACACAAGCCATGTTTCTGCTTGGGCCACCAGTCTTGTGAAGTCCACAAGCGAGACCTTCGATGGGAGACACGCAGTGCAACATGGAAACTCCTCTGCAATGGGCTCGGGTGGGTGCAAGAGCCCTCGTTTCCCCAGCAAGCAGCTGCCAACGGGTGCTAAGGGGTCACAGGCAGCAAAAAGAGCTTCATGGAGGTAGGTTGGATGTCCACCTGCTGCAGAAGTGCTGGCTTCAGCCATGGACCTCAGCCTGGTTTTGCACAGGTATCAGGGACACCAGCGCCAGCGTGCTCCTGGCAATGGGCAGGCAAATGCTTCTCCAAGGAGCTGGGCGAGTGTTTTAGTTAAGGCCAAATTAATTCCTAGCTCTCCCTGTGAACCAAAAAGCAATAGCAGAGGGGAGAAAAAAAAAATCCCTCTGTTGTGAGTGAGCTCATTTCATGAAAACCCTTAATGTCGCTGTTGCTGTGGCAACTTTCAAATTGTAGGAGGGAAAATTGGCCAATTTTCCTTACATAAAAGCATCATGAGAATATTACGGCAGTGGCTGTTCTTTATGACTCCCAAGTATCATCAAAAGCAATAGTTAAACCTTCCAGGTTTTAAAAAAGGAGTTTTGAAGTTCACTTTGCTCTGGAGTACGTTCCAAAGGACCCTGGCCAGCCCAGGGAGGAGGATGAGGTCCGTCCCTGCTGTGGCTGCAAGTCGGGAGATGGTTTGAAGGAAGGAAGACACAGCACTGGTGAGGACCTGAGGACTCCTCTTCTGTATTTTGGTAAAATGCTTCAGCTCCAGTGTTTGGGGTTGGATGGCCAACCCAACGACAAGTATTTGAGTCAACCCTTCTAAAAATGCTTGTAGGTGCTCTGTGGATGTAAAAACTCATTGCACTTGGACAAGGAGGAAGAAACCTTCAACCAGAAGTTTCTGCTTCTCTATGATCAGTTTGTTCCTTGTGTTTTGAAAGACCCCTGGTATCGGTAGCAGAAGGCTTTCTTGAGGTGCTTAGGGGTTAGAAAACACAGAATCACAAAATCTCAAGGGTTGGAAGGGACCTTGGGAGATCATCTAGTCCAACTCCCCAGCTAAAGCAGGTTCTCCTAGAGCATGTTACACAGGACTTCATCCAGGCGGGGGTTGAATATCTCCAGAGAAGGAGACTCCACAGCCCCCTGGGCAGCCTGGGCCAGGGCTCAGTCACCCTCGAAGTAAAGAAGTTTTTCCTCCTATTCAACTGAAACCTCTTCTGTTTCAGTTTGTGCCCATTGCCCCTTGTGCTGTTGCTGGGCATCACTGAGAAGAGTCTGGCTCCGTCCTCGTGACCCCCACCCTTGAGATATTTGTACATGGTGATGAGAAACAAACCACAAGAGATCTGCTTTCCAAAGGCAGAGCAGATGAAGCAAAGCCAGGTGTGTGCTCACCCATCTGGAGAGCAGTTCCTTCAAGATGAGGTGTCCAAACCCACCTTGCTTGGACACAAGGACCCAACAGCTCCACCTCACACCCACCTTCGGGGCGAGGACTGGCTCCGAGACCAACCTAGAAACAGCAGCGAGGGCTGCAGAGCTCTGACTCGAAGGACTCAGCCAGAAAGGGGAAATATTTCACGTGATTACAGGAGTAGTTGTTAGGAATAAGCCAGCTACAAGCGCTGTCGAAACATGTTCTGCAACTATTACTCCTTTACTGGCACGGCTCAGCCATGAACCGCAGTAGGAAGGTGTGTGAACTCTACAGAACGGGGGTGTTGCAACCAAAACCTGCAATAAACAGAAATCCTCAGACAAGGTCTTAATGCCTCTCTGCTGGAACACCGTAGCCTTTGCATTTATTGCCTAGAATATCACGTATGAACCCTAAGTGACAGAAAATACACCTGGGGTTTGCTCGGTGCATCCATATTCTGCGACGGCAAACAAAACAGCATCCCAGGCAACGGAGACACGGCGTCAGCAGCACCGTCCGTTCATCCTTACTAACAAACTATATCGCCATGGGAAAAAATGCACAGGATTTACAGGGAGCCTGGAAAAGCCTGTGGAAGGGGAGCTCACAACCGCCTCTATTGAGGACTTCGTAGTCTTAAATCAGGTGGCAAGGTGGCTGGGACAGGAAGGCTCCGTCACAAGCAAAAGGTGCCTTTCTGTGGTGAGCTGAGCCCTGAAGCAGTCTGCAAGAGCACACAGAAACGAAGATATTTCAGGCAGAAATATTTCCTGCTCTGTAATGGCACCACGGAGCAAGAGGGTCTCCACTGGAGTTTCTGAATATTACAAACCCACGGATTTCTTGGGAATCTGTCGTGAAGAGGCAGAAGGCTTGGGATGATCTGCAGACCTTGCAGAAGCATTTCCCCCAGACTTACCCTAAGAAAGCTTTCCTGATGCTCTGAGCACTCTCAATTTATAAAATCAATACATTAACTTTGATAACGAGCCTCTAATCATCATTTGCCACCTAACAACAAGCAGAGCAGATGGGGAGCTGCATTTCCATCATGCTCCATCTTCCACCGCAGCCACCGCTAAAAGCAAAGCGAAGTTCTGGTGGGAAGTGTGAACGTTTCCGAGTGGCTGAAACCCGGCTCCATCTGCTCGAGCAGACGGGACGGAGCGACGCAGTGGGAATGACAAAGTAGCCGCAGCAGGGGACAGATCGGGAGCGGCGCACGTACCTCTGGGCTGTATCGCAGGGTGAGCCTTTCCTCTTCCGAGAGTCGGGGTTGGCAGGGTCCGTTGAGCTGTCCCCAAGGCCACTCATGTTGGTTGACCTACTTTGCACCTGGAACCGAAGAGAGACAGGGTAAGGACAAGGTTTTTGCAGCTGCAGGAGGAGCGGTTCCTCCGTGGCAGAGCCAGAAAACATGGACCAAGTGACCTCCGAAGAGGTAACTAACCCAAAGCCAGTCTTTCTTATTGAATTGATGCCGCGTTTTTGAAGGAAACAGTGCAAAGGGAAGACAACAGGCGGTCATGTTACCCTCCTTTTGGTGTCCCCTGGTCACCATTTGGCCAAGCAAGCCCTCACCACCATCCTTGCATCACAGCCTGAGCTCTTCCCTGTCTCCCTGCGAATTTTAGCTTCTTGGCTTTACAGCATTTTCACAACTATCTAAACAGAGCCCGTTTCAATGCGTTGCTGAAGTGTGCTTGATTGCTTTTGTTTGGTTTCCTTTTCCTGCAGGCTTCTCCTTCAGCCCATCTTCGGCTCCTCTGCCATCTCCCCCCGGTTCCTCTGACTCACGGCTGGCAGAGC